TATATTTTTGAAAAAAAAAAAAAAAAAAAAAAAGCGTACGCATATGCAGGTTTCTGGTCACGTACGCGTACGCAAGAATACGTACGCGTACGCACCACGTACGCGTACAACGTGCAACACAGATTCATTCAATGATTTCTATCTATTCGAGGAGTTTCCCGCATACAGTGGAGTTTGCTATTTCTACCGTCTTCCCCCGAACATAAGACACCCTAAAATGAATGTATACAAGGTTTATTTCCGGCCAGATACAGCCAAAATAAGGGTGCGTTGTGTTCGGGGGAAGATGGTAGTCACCTAGAAAGTAAGGCAACAAAATTACCTTAAGTGAAACCAATTTGCGCTCTTCCGCCTTAAGTAAAACAATGAAGTATCAGTGAAGTACAATCAAGTATCACTGTTGTCTGCGGAAGATGGCAAAGCGGAAGATTGCGAAGGTATGGAAGCCAAAAAGGAGGGTTGGAGAAGTTGACAGCCTTTTTTTTCTTCTTTTTTTGCTTAAAGGCTAAAGCAGCAAAGAAGGGCGACGGCCGAGCCGGCTTGAGATTCATCATCGAACTGACCACGCCCCCAGTAAACTCAGATTTATTAATTTATTATACTCGTCAGATTCCGTCTGGATTCCAACTCAGGACCACAGGTCTGTTTGTTAGCAGTTGATGGGTGTGTCATTCAGCCACATGGCTGGGTAGAAGTTATGGACGTTTTAATCGACTTATTTATTTATTTATTTATTTATTTATTTGAAATTATTTCTAAAAGGCAGTGGAATGAGCGTGGAAAGTAATTGCAAGGCACCTTTTTTTCTTGTGTGCCACCGAGATCGTTATTTGAGTTAACTATCTCCTTGCCCCGAGGTCATTATAGCTCTGCATGTGTTTGTGGTATCTTTCAGTGTCTAAGTCCAGCTAAAATGACCGTAGCTGAACGTATTTGGGGTATCTTTCAGTGTCTAAGTCCAGCTAAAATTACCGTAGCTGTACGTATTTGGGGTATCTTTCAGTCTCTAAGTACAGCTAAAATGACTGTACGACGTACGTTGTATTGGATGGGGGAATAAGAAGGTAGGTTGTGTTATTTACCAAGGGTATCCGCTTGTACTCTGCTCATGTGCAGGTCGCCTACAATGATGATGCCAGGACAGGGAATGGGCGGCATGCTTCCTGCTGCTGCTGGATATATGCCGGCCGCGGCGGCGGCCGGTATGCAGTTCGTGGGTGGCGGCCAGTTTTCTCCAACAGGAATGCAGAGGGTTCCTTATGCTGCCCGTCCGTCTGGAGCTGGAAACCCTTTTGGATGACCTGAAACTTTTGGAGGATGATCTGACGGCTCACAGGCATCGGGAACTCTGTAATGCACTCTATCCGTCGCTTCTGGAAGCTCTTGCTCCACCATCTTGATGGCATCGGATCGATCGACTCATGCTTGCTATGGAGGTAGGAGTCCCTTGGCCCGAAGGGTCCATCTGCGTGTTTTTTTTTCTGCGTAAGCAGGGCTCGTTTGGAATCACGAGTGTTCGATTGCGATTTGACAACGTTCACTCGTCGGACGGGTCACAGCCAAGGGCAGCTGTGTAACACAGTCCATCCTTTGCTTCTGGAAGCAGAAGCTCTTGCGCCACCGGCTTGATCGGAATGATGATCAATGATCGGCTCATGCCTGCGATTGATTACATGAATTTAAATTTTAAATCCCTTGGCTCGAAGGGTCCGTCTGCGTGTTTTTTTTCTGCATAAGCAGGGGCTTTTTTGCAAACATGAGTGGGTCCATTTTGATGACAGTGTTAACTTCTGAAGCCAGGTTTTGCTATGTGGTGTTCTTCAGGTACAAAGACAGCATAATACTCACACGTACACAATCTTGAATGTCTATCTGACCGTAATCACGGCCTTACTTGGATGTATCTGACTGCAATTACGTCCAGAAATGAGTTAAAAAAAACTCCCTAGTGTGAGTATGCCCTGAAAGCGTAATGCTGAACACCTGGGATCGTTCACTTCTGTCAGCTGACGCTTATTTTTATCCAATAAAGGGGTATAAAGGGGTACATTAGGGGTGTACATTTCTGGTGCCAGCGATGCACGAGTGCAGCGTCAAAGTCTCGTCCTCAAAGCCGTATCCGATTACCGACAGGAACTGCTCGGCAGGGTGCACAAAGGTGACCTCCTCTTCCGTTCCCCCCTCTCTGTGTTCGTTTCATACCGATTGGAAGTGTGGGGCTACTGATGGCTTGGGCATTGTCAAGCCAGCCTCTCCGAAGATTCTTCGTCAGAGAAGTGAAGGTTCATCGTCGGAGAAATGAAAGTTCTTCCTCGTCCAAGAAACGAAACTTCTTCGTCAGAGAAATGAAGGTTCATTGTCTGAGAAATGAAGGTTCATCGTCCGAGAAATGAAGGTTCGTCGACCGAGAAATGAAAGTTCCTCGTCGAAGGAATGAAGGTTCCTCGTCTGAGAGAAATGAAAGTTCATCGTCCAAAGGATCCTCGTTCAAGGAAGGAAGTAACCTCGGCTGAGAAATGAAGGCTCGTCGTCCGTCCGAGGAAGGATATGGTTCGGGTGCCATTGATGCGCGAGATTGGCAGCAACATCTCGGTCAAGCTTGTATCCAATCAAGGCGTAGGAAGTCTGTCAAAGGGTGCGAAGAAAGGGAGGGCTCCCTCCCTCCTCCCTCCCTCCCTCCCTCCCTCTCTGTGTACCTCTCCTGGCTTTGTGTTGGCCAGCGGACGGCTTCGACATCGATCCGTCCGGCGAGAGAGTCTTCGTAGATATTCTTACTTGAACTGCGTTTCAACCTTCGATGAGACGACGTCCCCACGCCATCATCTCATTTCATTTTCGAGCCGCCGGCCGAACCGGCGGAATGAAAGCTAAGGGCCTAAGGCTAGTGAGTTTTTCTTATCCCTCTCTTCTTTCCTTGTAATCATTTCACTCTGTCTCGCTTCTGTGCGTTTAGGACTATCGCAAATAGGGGCTGTTGTTGTTTACTTTGTCTGTCTATTGCGATTTGCTATTGCTAGTGCTACTTCTCTAAGCCTGTAAGGCGATAGCACATCGTCACGGCTTATATACCGCAGGAAGTGAGCAGTTGGTTGTCTATTTTTTGCTGCTTCATAAAGGCTGCTATATATAAGGAGGAGAATAGAGAATCCAAGTGCAGGGGGACAAAGGAAGGTAGGTGTAGAAAATGTGTAATTGACGCTCTTGGCACTCTCGTCGAGTGTAGTTGATGTTCTTTTTTTTTTTTTTTTTTTTTTTTTTTCATCTGTTCGCTAAGGTGCCGTAGCCAATGTTTGTTTGAGAGAGAGCATGCCTGAGGTTGATCTGAGCAGAGGGGTTTGAATTGTGGATTGTAATTTGTTGATTTTTTTTTGGTCATGTTTTATTTCTCCTACGGCTAGTCCGGTCAGTGGTCCCCACCCTCCTATTTCATTTCTCTCCTTGGATGCTTTGTGTAGCTGTGCCGGGCAGGCCATTTTCTCTGCCGAGCCAAACAGCCCTGCGAAACTGTGCGTGGAATGCGCTGGATCGTGTGGCGCTTGATCGTCGTGCTTTACGAGGGAGGGAGGGAGGGGGGAAGGGAGGGGCCCAGAATACGCGGACCGCATAATGCGAAATGACTTGCTGCACAGGTTGGCGAGGGCTGGGTATCGTCAATAGGGCTCCTGATAGTAGATCTGCCAGCTTTTCAGCAGGGGTGGAGGCTTGATGACCGGACTCAGCAGCCAGCTTGAACGGCCTTTTGAAGGACCAGGGGATCGATGCTAGATGAAAATCGGACCACGACTCGGGAACTGGGAATAAGGACCACCAGCAATTATTACCTCAGTGGCTAAATTGCAATGAGCCTGCCAGCAGTTGTTACTCTCTCTCTCTCTCTCTCTCTCTCTCTCTCTCTCTCTCTCTCTCTCTCTCT